AGTCTCCTCGTCGTCACTCCATGGAGGCGGTGTGATACCATTTGAGAGTTCTGACCCACCAGGGGACATTGTTCTCATCCCTGCTCCCTGTTGGCCTCCACCTGTGTCCGCCCTGGGCCTCAGTTTAGCTGTCCCCTTCTCTTGGGGCCCGTGGTAGTTTTAAACCAACACTCCAGACTGTTTGTCACTGTATCCTCGTCCTTCTCCCTAGCTAGCCTGGGAGCCTCCTGGGCCAAGATGAGACGAGTCCAGTGCATTTCTGTGACATTTCCTTACCCCAGACACGTGGGAGGTCAGCACCCAGGATGTGTATGTGGGTGAGTGGCTGGATGTACCCACAAGTCCTTCAACCTCTAGGAGACTGCTCAAGGGCTTGTAGGAATAGGATAGTGGGCCAGCTAGGCTCCCCAGACTCTAGAATCAGCCTGGACCCACCACTTAATGGTTTATAATCCTAGGCAAGTGGCTTTGGCTTGCTGAGCCTGTTCCTCCTTCCTGCGAGGAGTTGAATGACATGAACTGATTCAGGTGAAGGCCACTTCTTCTGTGTGGCAGGTGTGGCTTCGTTATTCTTAGTATAGTTACTCCCATTTCATTGTGGAGAGAAGTGCAGTCAGTGGCAGAGAGTCAGGGTTTGAATGAACCCAGTTCTTTTCAAACCCTGATTCTTTGTCTGCAATGGATGGGGGCATATCATGAAGAGATCTCTTGACTGGAGTGAGGTGATGTGGCTCAGCCACCAGTTTCATCTCTGTGGCCTTGAGCAAGTCCTACCTCTGTCCTGCACCTCTCCTCTCCCCCATAAATAAAGAGCATTGGAAGAATTGGTCTGTCAGAGCCAACGAGCAGGTGACTGCTGGGCAGATGAGGTTCTCCCCAAGTTTCTGGTGGGACGACCCCCAGCCTGGTCCAGCCTGATATTCTGTGCACCTCAGATGTCTGCCCCTATCCACCTCCTCGGCCAGTTGACTAGGCAGCACCTGGATGAAAAGCCTCCAACGTCCGTGAGGGAGATGGCCTAAATGGACCTGGATGCAGAGGCTCATCCTGGCCAAGCAGGCTACCAGATATACCTATTTTGGGTTCTTCTAAAGTTTTCAAGTGGAAACAAGGAAGGCCCCATTGGGGAGGAAAGTGGACCTGTGTGGGAACAACACTCACTATTACCAACTTGAAGGTTCCTGCCCTCTCTCACCTTCTGCCTCCATCCTCTCTACCTGCCTGCCAGATCTGTGCAGGGTTTAGGGGAAAAGAAACGCCAATATCCCAACAAAGGTCGGAATCTTAAAACAGGGTCTTTTGTTGTTGTTCTGCCTCCTACATAGCCTTTTGCTTGAGTGGGTAGCAAGTTGAAAAGACCAAAGGTCTGTCTTCTCTAAACCGACCTGTCAGTCTTTGGTTGAGAATGCAGACGAGAAAGAGAAGAACACTCTTTTGTGGTTTAATAAAGCACAGGGCAGCAGATGCCATACAGTCTCGTGAAGATGGGCAACACGACACGTCTGTTGTCATCTTTACATAAGCAGACATTTCCCCAACGTGGAGTTCCAGTCTGTGCTCCTGAGAACAAGCTAAGTGTACAGTGCTATTGCAGCCAGTCTCAGGGACAGAACCTGGACACGCATATAGAAGCGGGGAGCTTTCAGGCTGAGTGGAGGTAGCAGAGATGCAGAGCATGAAGGTTTGGGAGGATGCTGGTTACCCATTGGGGAAGGTGGGCATCTGGCTCTGTGAAAGAGAAGCTTCCTGGCCTGTAATGCTCCTGGTAGTGCTGGGGACCATGCTGGGAGGTACAGAAACAGAGCCTGGGCAGCCTGATCGGATCTAGGAAGGTGAATGCTGAGCTGTATCTTTGCCTGTGTCCAGACTGTGGTGGGCTTTTCTCTTCGGATGACCAGCTGGCCTGGGCTAGAGTTCCCATGTCCTCAGTATTCCAAACCCAGGCTCTAAGTCAGAGGAGAGACTTCAGAGCTGCTGCCTCCTCTCTGGGCTTATCAGCCGGCTCCCCATGGCTGCCTGCAGATCAGGGAAGTTGCTGGGGCCTCACTGACCGGCCACAGTCCCTTACTGCTTGTCACTTGTCTTGAGGCAGCTACATTGAGGCCAAATTGTCCCGTGTCCACTCGCCAGAGACCAGGCAGCCAGAGTCCCAGAGGAAGCTTCTAGGGAGGAGGTGCAGGGGACAGCTTTGCCCTCTGGGCCTCCCAGGGCCCAGGCGGCTGGAATGCAGGGCTGAGAGGTGGCTTAGAAAAGACTCGAGTTTGAGTGTTGGCCCTTAGCAAGGACTGCCATTGACCGAGGCCCCTGTGGGTATCTGGGGGGCTTTACTTACTTTTTCTGTGATCACTCGGCAAACCAGGCTCTCTTTACCTCCCCTGGGTGCCAGGGTGCACAGGTGTGAGCCCTGCCCGAGCCACGCTGCTGGCCCTGAGAATCGTGATGTTACTGGGGAGGGCGGCGGAGGCTCGGGAGGGAGGAGGCGCTCCTCCTGCCAAGAGCTGAGGACCTGACAGAAGGCCTTTTGCTCCCTCTTGGCGACTGGACCTCACCCTTGAACCCTCCTCCTTCGTGCTTCTCATTTTCCTTTTTTTTTGGGGGGGTGGCTCCAAATTATCTTATTTTGTTTACATTGCACCCAAGTCTCATGGTACAAAAGACTTGCAGGTGCAAATATGTCCCGCCTTCATTAACTTCCCCTCCCTTTTTAATTTATGTGATTTCAATTTTCCTTCCCTGTACTGTTAATTAGGGGACCCTCTAATCAGTGCCATTATCACAGTGGTATTCATGTTTAGGAAAGCCGCTAAACAAATGCTTGCAAAATTGCTAAATGGCTAATTAATGTCTGTTAATTAAGAAAATTGCTCATGGTAACAAACCATGCCGTTGCTGGCAGCCGCTAGAAAGACACACACTTGTTGAAATTAGTAGTGTGGCAGGTAGGGGAACATCTGCTCCGTGGAGCTTTCCGGAAGTAAGCAGCCCCACACTCAGGCGAGAAGCTCCAGGCCTGTCCTGGGCACGGCCCCCTTGCCCCTCTCTGCACACCTTTCTCTGTCTCCATGCCCACTGGTCCTGGCCCACCCCATCTCCCAACACCTCGTGCGCGGCACCCCCCCCCCCCACCCCCAACCGGCTCTGCTCTCTGGTCTGTGCTTGCTGAGCCAGCAACAGGCTGAACAGCCTGGCTTCCAGGGAGGAGACTGAGGAAGAAAACCATGCCCAAAGAGTCATTTTCCTTCTCTTTTTAAATGAAGCCACACTCATCCTCTCTGCATATTTTGAATTTTTCTCAGCTTCCAAGGGTAGTGACATAGCCCCGAGAGAGTGAATTGGGTTGTGTTTCTCACCAGCAGGCTTCCCTGGTAGCTCAGACAGTAAAGAATCTGCCTGCAGTGCAGGAGACCTGGGCTCAGTCCCTGGGTTGGAAGGATCCCCTGGAGAAGGGAATGCCTCCCACTCCAGTATTCTTGTCTGGAGAATCCCCATGGACAGAGGAGCCTGGCGGGCTACAGTCCATGGGGTCACAAAGAGACACGACTGAAGTGACTTTTACATTCTCCTTACCAGCACCAGCGTCTTGCTCTGAATATCCCAAGTGGGCAACAAGGTGCTTCCCTGACGAGATTTTCATGCTTTTTGACTGTGACCCACAGAGAAAATACATTTGACACAGTGACCCAGTACATAAACACACATGCACATATTTATAAATAAAGATTAGTGAAGAGTGTTTCCTTAAAACACACAAAGCTGTCTGATATTTTCTATCCTATTTTTTATTCTGTTCCAGGTTTTTAAAAACAATGGTTGCAACCCACTAAATTGATTTCACCACCCACTAATGGGCTGCACCCCATGCTCTGGTCAGCTCTATGGTTTAAGTGAATTCTTCTGCCCATCTCTCCTGTGGGGAGTCAAGGCCAGCATATAGCCCAGCGCTTCAGAGGTCAGCCGGGACAAGGGTGGCTTACCGCCAGCTGCAGTGGCTAGCCCCAGCATCTCCTCCGTTCACCCAGCCCCGACCCTGCTCCCCCACACACCCTCTCAGGCCTGGGCTGCGGAGGCCAGGGTGACCCTTGCCCGCATCAGGCTTCTCCCCCATCTTTGCCGTCTTCCGGTTGTGTGGCTGTGGCAAAGTCTCCTTATCTCTTGATACTCATTGTCGTCACTGATAGAAATAGGAATGAGAAACCCACTTCCTGGGGCCAATTTCAGGTGAAGGTGTGTTAATGAAGTGCTCTGAGCAGTCACTCAGTGATGGTCTCTTCCTCTTGTTCCCCATGTATTCAATCTCTGACACCACCTCACTCTTCTGTCTGTTTCCATTCATCCGTCAGAGCCCCCTCCCCTCAGTAGACTGGTTGCGTCATCCTTGCCTGGCCCTGGCCCAGGAAGGGGCACGTGGGCACCCTGCAGGGTAGGTCAGTTTCTGGGTGTCCCTGGGCCTTCCCCGGTGGCTCAGTCGTAAAGAATCCGCCTGCAATGCTGGAGATGCAGTTTCGATCCCTGGGTTGGGAAGATCCTCTGGAGGAGGATATGACAACCCACTCCAGTATTCTTTCCTGGAGAATCCCCGTGGACAGAGGAGCCTGGCGGGCTACCGTCTGTGGGACTGCAGAGAGTCAGACATGACTGAGCGACTAAGTGCACACACACTGCACACCCTGACTCTGTCACAACCAACGTATTTAACATGGCAAACTCCGCTCTGACGGCAGACCATGCCGGCCCACTCCTGTGTGCTTCCACAAAGGAGCTTGATTTTTATGTCATGCCTGGAAACCCCCCCTTGAATGCGTTTATCGGCTTCTCTCCCTCCCGCCCGCCCTTTTACACCGTTGAGCCGGCGACCCCAGCAGCAGCTCGCACCTCCCCGCCGCCCACCGCCCGCACGCCGCCCGCCCTCCGTTTTTGGTTTGAGTTTTGTTGTTTGGAGCTTCTCCCGCGCTTCTCCGTGTGCTGTGATCTGTAACCTGCTCTACTGTCTGGCCTCACAGGGTCCTCCCGGGTCACAGCCCTCGCCGCACGCACAGCCTCCACCTCACAATCCCAGCAGCATGATGGGACCCCACAGTCAGGTAACGCACTGTGGCCCGCCCGCCCGCCGGCCGGGGGGCGCGGGGCACCAGCAGGACAGAGCCCGCCGGGGAAAGACAAAAATCAAAACGCGCTCTCGCCCTTGCCTTTGAGGATTTCCTGGCCAAGGAGATTCCCCCTCCTCCCAAAAGTATATCTATTTCCCCCGCCCCCCCACCCAAAAGATCGTCTTCATTCCTTGGACATCACACCCTGCTTGGATATGAAACCCAAAGGAAAGGAGAACTGTTTCTGTGACCTTGTCAGCGGCCTCTGCGTTTTTTTTTTTTGACTGTTTTTTCCGCTCTCACTTTTGGTTTGGTTTTTGAGTTTGGTTTAACCATTGTTTGTCACCGAAGCTGCATTCCTCGCCTTCTCCGTGTGCACTCTTCGCTGCTGAGAAAGCTTTTCTGCCCATCTCCCTGCATCGAGTTAGGGCGCCTGCTATCCCCTCCCCCTTCTCCCTGCTCCCCTTCCTTTCGCCCCCTTTGTCGGTGTCGTGTGAGTGTGTGTGAGTGCGCGTCCAGCTTTGTCTACACACTGGAGGATTTCCTGTACAAGCCCCTGTGGGATTCTCCCACTGGCCCTCACCTGCAGCAGAGGTCTCCCCTCACCTGCGCGGATATAATTGCTCCTCCGTGTTCCGTGCCCAGCCCCAGCTGCTGCCCCGGCACCCAGAGTACAGCTCTCAGCAGGTGCACGGTGTGCCTCTGTCGCTCCCTCCGCCCAAAGGAAGTTTTGCCCGGAGGGACAAGGCCACCGGGAGGAAGACAGTTTAAAAGATCACTAGTTGTAACAAAACTGGACTTTGTGGAGTGGCGCGCGTTTGTGTCTGTCACCGTGCGGTACTGCGGGCTGTCACTGAACTAACGCCCTGTAATTGCAGCCTTTTATGTCACCGCGATATGCAGGCGGCCCCCGGCCCCCGATCAGAATGGGAAACCAGGTACTGTACCTTTTAGTGTTCTCTCCCCTCTCTTAGCCACCCTTGACCCCAGCTGGACTTGGACTCAGAATCTGCAAGAAGGGTTGGGAGGTGGAGGGACAGTTTTACCTAACATGGGAGGCAGCTTATAAGCAGGTCCCCGGAGAGGACTGTGTTTTCTATTTGGTGCTCCACACAGCCCCTCCCAGCATCGTACCTGCCTCTCCTGGTGGGCTGTGGGCAGCGGGGTGTGAGTGCAGGGTTTCTGCTTTTCTAAAGAAGGTGTTAATTCCTCAGCTCCTCCCTGCCAGCCCTTTCTTGGAAAAGGGTCTTCCTCCTTAATGAAGTTAATTGACAATGTGCATTTTTTACCCTGGAAGCTTTTGAGAATTACCAAGGCTGGTAAATAAAATCCTGCGATTAAGGGGAGAAATGGCCCGTAGGAATGCTTCGATCAGGAGCCTGGATGCAGCGAGCAGGACATTTGTGAGTTTTTAAGCAGTGTCTGCCTGCTTCCCAGTTGCTTCCCAACTCAAAAGAAGAAAGGATTTGTTCGTGTACTTAGAACAGTGATCTACTTATGGGGAGGGCTTTTCAGCCTTGGGTTGTATGCCTTATGCTGCCCCATTAGGGTTGGCAGTTCTAGGTGGTCTGGAGAAATTGGTCCCCAGCTGCCTTCCATGGTTCAGCCCATCCAGGGGCAGGAGGAGAGCTGCTGAAATGAAGATGGGTATCTTCTTTTGAGGGTAGACAGGCTTTGAAGAAACTTTAAAGAAACATTAGGGGAATTTCATTTCGTGCCCCAGTATTTCTGATCCATAATTCTTAGAGTGACCTGGCAGAAGCCCATCAGGAAGTCTGACAGCAATGCCAGGACCTCCAGCCCTTGAGGCCTTTGAAGCTGGGAGGTCAGTCACCAGCTAGATTGACGTTACCTGGATGGACTCCTTTCGTTCTCAAGAAAGCCCCCTTAGTGAGATACACGAGGACTTTGGAGAGATGCTTATAACCAGGGGACTCCAGTTTTAAAGTTAAATAGCCTGCCAGTTTCAACTTATTTTTTTTCCTCCAAAAATATTTTCTTTCCTATTTTCTCTGACATGAAGGAGAAAAACTCAGACAAGAATTAGAGGCCAAGCTTTTTGAGCAAGGAGGGACCCCAGCATATATCACAGATGAGGAAACAGAGGGTCAGAGTGGACCAGTGACTTCATTATGTGTCCCAGTGATCTGGGCTCGTGTTGGTCTCCAGCTGCCCTGGTTCAGTTAGTTTTCATAGTTGTAAACGTGTTGCCCCTGCCTTTGTTTTTAATGGGTCATTAAGTGGACCATCTCTGGTCTCACAAGCCAGGGCCCCAGCAGCAGCTCCCCCTCCTGCCCATCCAAGGCTCTCCTTAGCCCGAACTGCGCCCTCCTGCCCCCAGGAGAGAACAGATGCTTCCTTATCATAATTGTGGTCCTTCCTCCAGCAATTAAGGGATGCGAGAGGAAACATGTTTGTTTCTATTTATCAATTAAGCATGAACAAGTGCCCGAGAGAGAAAATGGAGAATAAATCCATCATCTGTACCTCGCATTACAAATCAATCAAGCTAATCTCCCCACCACCCTCCATTGGAAATCTATCCAGATATCCAGTTTTCTGTGGACTCAAGAATTTTTGTTCTCCAGGCGGGGATGTGTCCCTTTCCCAGGAATCGCCCCTGGGTGTCTCTTGGAGCATGCCTCAGTTGGGGCTGCTAGTTCCATGGGAGCCTCCATGCCACCTGAGCTAGCTCAGCCTTCCTCGGGGCAGGAGGAGGAAGAAGCAGCTCAGGCTTGCATGACCTCCTGGGTTAGGGTGATCAAAGGGCCCTTAGGGAGACAGGAGCTAAGGGTCATTGACTTTCGTCTGGGTTCAGTCCCTGGGTCAGGAAGATCCACTGGAGAAGGAAATGGCAACTCAACCCACTCCAGTATCCTTGCCTGGGAAATCCCATGGATGGAGGAGCCTGGCAGGCCACAGTGCAGGGGGTTGTGAAGACGACTGGGTGACCAGCTCTTCCTACTTAAAAGTCTTGCAAGGCCATCCTCCACCTGCCTCCCTGGCTAGGGGTTTGGCGCCTTGTACAGAGAGCGTTGCTGTGTTTCAAGCAAGGATAGCTGAGTGGGTGGCGAACAGTGGGTTTCAGCAGGGTTTAGGAGAAGAGGGATAGAAGCGGTGGTTGTCAGGCAGCCTTCACATCACATCCCAGCGCAGCCCTCACCCCACTCAGCCCGCTGACTTGGGCATGCAGCTGAGTGACTAGCAGATGCTGGTGGACTTCGTCTGGCTCCTGGGCAGACACTTGTTGCACCCACCGCAGCGTGCTGGAGGCGAGGCACCAGCCTACTTCCAGGAGCCCGTGGAACAGCCCCAGAGCATCTCTCTGTCCAGCAGGCCCAAGGGTGTGTGCACGGCAGGCGCTTGCAGTCCCATGGGTGATGAGCCATTATTCTTTCTCACACCTGGGGGCTTTGGCTCTTACAGTGCAGACCCTTTTACCTTGGTCACTACACACCTTACTGCGCTGGGAGAGGAGGCCCAGTGCTCATCACAGGGTCACTCCAGTGAGAGGTGACTCCGGGTCCCGTCTGGGCCTCCAGGCAGCCCTGCTCTGCTCCTAAGTCTTGGAAAGAAGAGCTTCCAGCCTGAGCTGATAGTTAGCGCTGGGCTACCTGGACAGGAAGTGGTTTTCTGATCCCCATGGCCACTCCACCAGAGTTAGATGGGGGCTTACCAAGAGCTGCTGGCACCTTAGCACCCCAGGAGCCCCCAAACCAGACAGCTTCAGTGGCAGGCCTTCCTGCATCATCTTAGAGTCCTGTAACCAGGCTTCAGAAATATCCCAAACCCCCAAGTGGGCAGACACTAGCCAGCCCAGTGATTCAGAGCTTGGGAACTCAGAGGAGGAAGCAGAGCTGGGGGAAAGCAAGAGGTCAGAACAGCTAACACCCAGGGCCAGAGAGAGAGAGAAGGTCCAAAGCCCTGGGCAGATGGAATGGCAGGTATGGAATGCCACTTCCGAATAGCAAGTACCCCCAGGCTGACGTGGCGCTCCCGTACGCCTCCCTCTCCCCAGACACGCGCGCACACACACCCTGTTAATTCTGAAGGTAAACTATGAGAGGTTTTCCCTTTGTTTCCCACCACCTCCTTCCAAAACTGGTTGGGAATTCCCTGCTGGGCCGACAGCTCCCCACCAATCCCGCAGCGCAGTTGGGGCTGGGGGACCCTAGGTAGTCCAGGGTCCCTGACACAGGTGCCCCGCTTTCACAAAGGCTTCCCCCCTCCAACCCGAGGCCTGTAATTAGTCCTCAGGCACGGGGGTTCCTCCCCACCCTCCGCATCCCTCCCAGTTCTGCTTTTCTCTTGTTTTGTAGTGCAGTAAGAGAACTTCAGTCTCAAATAAAGATCTTTGATGGGGTTTTCATAGTGAGTGTGCTAAGTGTTAACTCAGGAACCCCCTGACCCTCCTCATCTCTAGAGTGATCACACCAGCATCCACCACGTGCACCAGGCTTTGGGGGAGACGGGTTCTCATTCCACATCCTGCTCACCCTCTCCCAGAGGCCTCCTCCTGCACCCCTGGGGTTGGAAAGTGGCCTTTGATGTGCTGGAAGGAGTCCGGAGATCTGGGCGTTCTTTCTGGCCCTGCCCACAGGGCCATCAGACCTCTGGACCTCAGCTCCCCCGGCGAAATCTCAAAGGCCACCTTGTTCATCCCCTATTCCCAATTTAGTGTTTGACCTAAACTGCAGAGACTAGAGTTTGGGTGGTAGAAGGGAGGGGCAGTGCTGCCTCTGAGGGGTGCATGGTGGGCCGTGAGGCTGGAGAGCAACTCGGCTCCGGCAGGTATGCAGACCCGCGAAGACTGTCACAGATGGAGCCCCGTGCTCACCCATGCATGCTGCAGTTTTCCAAAGCTCCAGCTGGAGCTGCCTGCCCCCTGGGGGACCCTCCAGCCATCGGGCAGCAGGAGTGGTCTCAGGGAGACCTTGAGTGGCCCTAATGGTCGGGTGGGTGCTCCCCCCTGTGCCCCACCGTGGGGAGCAGCGCTCAGCTGCATCTTATATTTCTTTCAGCCTCCGGGAGGAGTTCCTGGGACACAGCCACTGCTGCCCAATTCCATGGATCCCACGCGACAACAAGGTAGAGGGGGCAGGGTGGGCCCCTGGCGGATGGGGGGCGTTGGGAGAGGCTCCTCCTCCCCTACTGTCTGCCTCTCCTTCCTGCCACTCACGCTCACTCCACCTCTGTCACACAGGTCACCCCAACATGGGAGGATCAATGCAGAGAATGAACCCTCCTCGAGGAATGGGGCCCATGGGGCCCGGCCCACAGGTAACCAGCCGCCAGTCTGTCCATCCATCTCCCTAGCCATCTGTATGCACCCGCCTTCTCTCCTCTGGCCTAGTCTGTCTGTCTTTCCACGTCCCGTAGATCATAAGGTGAGGGGAGAGGGCATGACTAGCGCCCCAGCGGCCCTTTCTGCCTGTAGATGGGCAGCCCCCCAGCAGAGTTGAGGGAACCCCCCCTCCCGCCCCCGCCATGGAGCTGGGGAGGAGGGGCACCTGGGAGCCTTCCATGGGAAGGACTTGAGGAATTTGCAAGGCAGGGGTCTGTGTGCCCAGGGAGCATTGTGGGTCCCCAGAGCTTCCTCCCACTCTGGGCGGGTGGACCTGAGCTGGTTCAGTGGTCGCCCAAGGCAGGATATTACATTATTCTGTCTGCAGCTCACCATTTGTCTGACTTTGGATGAATCACTTTGACCTTGGTAGGCCCAGCAGGCCCCAGTGTCCCCACCTGTCCAGTGTGGGAGGCGTGAGTCTGTCGCCCTGGTTCTCAGTAGTATACCTCTCAGCTGAGAGGAGGCCAGGCCGGCCAGGGCCCCAAAGTGAAACCTCTGGAAGAAATTATCTCTAGTGCCCTTCCTGTCCCTTCACAACAATTCAGTGGTCGCTCCTGTGACCCAGCTCTGTACCCTCAGGTCCCCGGGTCCCATAGAACCGTCAGGCAGTAGTCTGACAGGCCGTTCCTGTTCTAGAACCTTCTCACCGTTGGCTCTCACTCTTCTGAGTATTTAAGTGTGGCTCTGGGTCCTGCAGAAGCTGTGACAGAGAATTTGCTCTGTTCTGCCCTCGGGAATTCTCTGGAGTCTGCCCCTTGAAAGCCAGAATCTGAGAAAGGAGACGGGTGTTTCAGAGTGAGAGCAGGAGAGCCTGTTCTGGGGTGTTCATTCCCCTCTCTTCTGCCCTGCCTATAGGCCCGCTTGTCTGTCTCCCTTCTGTTTGTGACTATTTGGATTTTCTGGGCCCCCGCACAGGTTTCTGGTTTCCTGGCAGTGGGGTTGCACCCCCACTCATGCATGCCTGCCTCCCTTTTGTAGGAAGAGGTGCCTGCCACACCCCACAGTCCTCCACTCTGCCCAGAATTGTATTTACAGCACACCCAGCCGCTGCTTTCTTCCTGGTGATGGTTGTAACATCTGTGGTGTTGAAAGATTTTTAGGGAGGTCCTTGGATTTCGATGGCCCCATAATCCTGAAAGGAAGCAAGCCCACACCGGTTGCAGCTCTGGTTTTCTTGTTTTCTTTTCTTTCCTCAAATCCCCCGAAGCTTGTGTTTTCACCAGCTCCTTTTAAGCCACCGGAGTGGCCCCTTCCTGCCAGGAGGCTGGCTGGAGCTGACCTCCACAGGAACCTGTGGGAGGGCGGCAGGGTCTGAAAGCCCAGTGTTCCTTGTCCTGAGTCAGAAACTTTCAGATTCCTCAGCAGCGCACACTAGATCCTCTTGGTGTGCAAATCGGCAGTGGCCTTGGACTTCCAGGATGTCCTGGGGGACGTCTTGGGGATGCAAGGGGACAGTGTACTCCACCCCTTGCCCCGCTGATTCTTGGAGACTCAGCAGCTGCATCTGTAAAGCGGGATGGAGACCAGGACTGCCTTGTAGGGAGGATAGGAGGAGGCATGAGTTCTTGGTGTGAGGCTAGGTACAGTGTAGCCTCTTAGGAAGTTGCTTGTGTTTTCCAACTAGGGGGCTTAAAACCAGTGTTGAGGACTCAGTCTGCTTGGGCTGGGTGATCCCTTTGTGTTTCTTTTTTATTTTTTCTGGCAAAGGCCATTAACACTTGTTAAGCCTGTAGTAATATTGAGATTTCAGAAGCTGGGAATGGATGCTATCAGACGGCCCGAGACCAGAGTGTTCCGGAAGTCTAGGACTTCCTCCTGGCTCAGTGGGAGTCTCGGCGTGTCCGTGTCCCTGACCAGGAGTCTGGCACACTCTTGTGGCATGTTTAAAGAGATGGGGCTCCTGCAGCCTGAGGTCTTGCTCAAAGGGGCCCTCCTGGCCTCACCGGGCAGGATATAGGGATGGAACTCTCGTGGGCTCAGAGACTGGTGCCCAGAGGGGTGAGAGAAGCAAGCTCGGGGTGAGGCCAGCTGGCCGTCCTCACCCCACCAACCTCAGAGGCTCCGAAAACATCTCTCCTGTTCTTTTTTTCCCCCCTGGTTTTATGGAGATATAGTTGACACACAGCGCTGGATAAGTTCAAGGGGTACAGCATAGTGACTTGACTTAGATCACAAAATGATTACCAAAATGATAAGTTTAGTGAGCATCCATCATCTCATAAAGATACAGAGTTAAAGAGATTGAAAAATTTTTTTTCTTGTGATGAGAGCTTTTAGGATTTACTCTCTTAACAACACTTGTGTATAACATACAGCAGTGTTAGTTACATTTTTTGATGTTGTACATTACATACCTAGTACTTATTTATTTATCTTGGGAGTCTGTGCCTGTTGACTTTCTTCATCCAGTTCTGCCTCCCCACAGCCTGCCTCCTCTGGAAACCACAAGTCTGATCTCTCCTTCTATGAGTTTGTTTTTGAAGTGTAATTGACCTACAACACTATGTTAGTTCCTTTATACAACTTAGTGATTCAGTGTTTCTGGACATTTCAACACTGATCACCACAGTAGGTGTAGTTCCTGTGATGTGTCACCATGCAAAGATATTACATAGCTATGGGCTGTATTCCTCACACTGGACATTTCATTCCCATGACTCAGTTTATTTTGCAACTGGATGTTTCTGCCTCTTAATCTCCTTCATCCCCACTTTCCTCCCCTCTGGCAACCACCCGTTTGTTTGTTCTCTGTATCTACAACTGTTTCCTCTTTTGTTATTTTTATTCATTTGTCTTGGTTTTTAGAGTCTACATATGAGTGAAACCATAAGTGTTTTTCGTTATCAGACTTATTTCATTTAGCCTATTGCAATCAGTGTCCATCCATATCGTCACAGATGGCAAGGTTTCATCCTTTTTTGTGCCTGAGTGCTATTTCTGTGTGCGTGTGTGTGTACCACATCTTTATTCATTCATCCATTGTTGGATACTTATGTTGCTTCCATATCTTGGTTATTGTTTTTAAAAACATGCTGCGATGAACATAGGGGTGCATATATCTTTCTTTTTTTAATTTTTATTTGTGACTGAGCTGGGTCTTCGCTGCTGTGCAGGCTTTCCCTAGTTGTGGCGGGCGGGGGCTCCTCTCCAGCTGTGGTGCTTGGACATCTCATTGCGGTGAATTCTCTTGTGGAGCACAGGTTCTGGGGTGTGCAGGCTTCAGCAGTGGCAGCATGTGGGCTCAGTACTTGTGCCTCACTGGCTCTGGAGCTCAGGTGCCCAGGCTTCGTTGCTCTGCAGCATGTGGGATCTTCCCAGACCAGGGGTCAAACCTGTGTCCCCTGCACTGACAGGTGGATTCTTAACTGTTGGACCACAAGGGAAGTCCATGTATATCTTTTCTGATTAGTGTTTTTGTTTCCTCCTTTTCCCATATCAGGTTTCCATGATAGCTCCATTGATAAAGAATCCGCCTGCAATGCAGGAGATCCCGGCTCAATTCCTGAGTTGGGAAGACTCCCTGGAGAAAGAAGATAGGCTACCCACTATATTATTCTTGCACTTCCCTTGTGGCTTAGCTGGTAAAGAGTCCACCTACAAGGTGGGAGATCTGGGTTCGATCCCTGGGTTGGGAAGGTCCCCTGGAGAAGGGAAATGCTACCCACTCCAGTATTCTGGCCTGGAGAATTCCATGGAAATATATATATAGTCCATGGAGTTGCAAGGAGTTGGACACAACTGAGCGACTTTCACTTTCACTTTTCCCATATCTCTTGTACCCCACTGGGTAGAGTACAGTATTAAATTCCAGAACAAAACCTTCCTCAGAGCAACCAAGATGTCATCACTGGGGGCAGAAAGGCCTGGCCCTGAGTGAGCCTGGACCTGGGCAAGATTGGGGTATAAAATGGATTGCAGGTTCTGGGGTCAGCCAAGGAGTGGGTATCACAAAGCCTAGAAGTTTTGGACCCCAGGGTGCAGTTGGGCAGAGGACAGGACCCATCCCCCAAGCCCTGTCTCTCTGTCCTCTGAGGTGCTCCTCTGGTCACTCCAGGGGGTAGACGGAGAGGGATGAGCTCAGAGCTTAGTGCTGGATAACATGGTCCCGGCCACGGCTCGGACTCTTGGGGCCTCTGGTTCCTCATCTGCAAAATGGGCGGTCGGGTGAGGACCTCAAGGGTCTCATCGTGGGGCTGTGAGACACAGATCACAGCACGAGGCTCCACGAGGCGCCCCATGGATCCCATTGCTTCCCTGGAACCGAGGTTCAGAGAGGGAGCCCTGTCTTGCCATGCCTGGGCTAAGAAAGGCGACCAAGCCCCTTTAGGCAGTTTTTAGTAAGCCCCACTGCATACACTTGCTGAGACCAGACACAAAGGTGGGAAACCTTCAGCCTGTTGTTCCAAGTGGGGAATAAGATTGCTAATAGTGGGACAGCTCTAGAACTTTCTGAACAAAGAATAGGTACAGTGTGGGCTTGGGGCTACAAAACCGAATGGAGTGACGTGGTACTTTTTGAGGCTGTGCTGCATTTTAGCCTAAATGTCACAAAGGAACCAGCAAACTAGGTATCAGCCTGCCTTTTGCCTTCAGTGTCTTGGGCAGATTTTACTCTGGTTTCCTGAAACAGCCAGTGCCGAAAAGAAGGCAGTGTTTCCATTTCATTGTGTTTTCTCTTTAAAGATTTATTCCTATGCCTGTGTCTGGCGAGAACTTCTGGCTGAATTTTTCAAAAGTGAATCCTGTTAGGATGAGGCTGAAACTGCCAGAGCTCTGCAGGTTCCCGTGGCAATGATGTATGGCACCCAGACCCCACGAGGCCGCTTTGAATGCTTCTGGTATTCCTAGTGAGGTAGGGTCAGCACAGCCTGGAATCAGATTGCCATCCTGGCATTTGAGAACATTCAGATAAGGGATAACCCACCGTCTAGAGACAGACCTTTTCCACAGGAAAAGCTGCATCTCCCCTCTGATCTAGAACAGTCCAAACTCAGTGCCTCTGAGCAGAGACCCCAGAAAGAGACAGAAGGATTGTAAACCAGGCTAGAGCACCCTCAGCTGGTGAGGAAAAAGTGGAGTCCCTTGAGGCACTTTCTGCCTTGGAGGCCTCCCAGTGGGGCTGGCCAGGCTCTGTGTAGAGGGGGTGGAGGGCAGGTCCAAAAGCCCAGGAAATGGCCTGACAGCCTGGAGTCCACCTTGACAGGTCCGTCCTGGAGACTGTTCTCTCAGGCACCAGGCAGCACCAAGAAAGAGCCTCTGTGCCGAGGAGTTGCAGGAAACAGTAGAAACCCCAGCGCCTGCCGGCTGCAGGTGCCTTCCAGCGTGGCTGTGCCCCCGGGCAAAGAGCGCAGAACTCAGACCAAAAGGCCAGGTCCTGACCCTTTATAGAGTTCCTGACAGTGGGTCCTACCCCTCTGCCCAGGGTCTGGGGTGACCTAGTTGTTCAGAAGCAGGGTGGGAAGATAGGCAGGCAGACAGACAGACATACCTGTGGATGTGGCCGTCCCCATGGCTGCACCCCAGACTCCTCCAGGTCTCCGGCGGCCCCATCCCTGCAGAGCGGTGCTGAGGGCAGAGGAAGAGGAATGTCCAGCGGCGACCACACCTCCGAACCCAGAGCTGAGGGCAGGCGGGCACTGGGAGAAGAGAGACTCTTTCTACTGAGTCTGAAGCTATGCTTCTAAGCCCGCCCATCCTCTGTGAAAAGGCCGGTGTCTCTGATTTGGACACTTTACTGCAAAACCTGTCTTTCAGCCCTGACTTACTGTATGGCCTTGGGTGGTGAGCCTTTGGCTTCCCTGGGCCTCTAGCTTGTCATCTCTGAAGTGGGACATGTGAGTGTCCCTTGGGGTCTAGGCCTCTGTAGGCAGTAGGAACTGGCGGCCTGCTCCCTCCTGGGCAGTGGTCGTGCTGGCTGCTGAGGGGTCGGCTGAGAACAGCAGCTGGTGCACCCGGAGCCTCCCCTTAGGGGCCGTGTGTCCAGACGTCTTTCAGGAGCGAGCACCCCACCAATCCTTTCCTCACCCAACTCTGCTGCTGTGCCCTGGGCCAGCCTTCTGCTCTCAGCCCTCAGCGCAGCCGCTCTCCCGGGCACGAGCGGGAGCAGGACACAGCTGCACCCTGGTGGAGGTCTCTGTCTGGGAGGCCTTGCGGAGTGGCCGGGCTGGACACAGTGATGAGTGGGCTACCTGGGGAGACCATGAGCTTCCTGTTGTGGAACAGCGGGAGCCAGGCTGAGTTCTGGACAAGGGCTTCAGTGGTTGTACGTAGGCTAAGAAAGGACCCTGGAAGACCTGATGCTCAGGGCAGCATTCAGGGCTCTGGTGTTTTCTCTGCCAACGTCCCACATCAGCACACACCTCTGAGGGCTGACGGAGCTCTTTAGAGCCATCATTTCATTTGATCCTCTCATGACCCTGTGAGGCTGGGCTCTGTGTCCCCGTTTTATGGACGAGGCAGCACAGCAGAGGGGTTGCACACTGAAGCCATGATGATCGCCGCACAGGGAGCCGTCACCCTGCTTCTGCGCCCAAGTGTCACAGTCTTTAAAGTGGGGATAGTAATGAGGTGGTTGTGGGTTAAATGTAGGTGATACAAAGCCCGTAGCACAGCCTGGCTTGGAGGAAGCCTTATTGTTATTTGGGTGAGCCGGGACAAGCGCTTCCGTGTTCTACCTTCAGATCCGAGGCTCTGGTCACCACCCGTGGCATCATCTGTGGGGATGGACTGGCCCTGCCACTCGCAGATCCTGCCACGGTGTGCTCCAGGGCAGGCACATGTTTTCTGGCCCAGGGACTCAGCTCTGAGCAGGTGCAGGGGGTGCCAGGCCCTACACGTGCCGGCTGCCTAAGAAGCCCTCCCCTGCTCCCCCCACCCGTCTGCTCTGGGTCTTGCTCTGTGCCAGCCAGGCTGGTGCTGCCGCTGTCACTGTGCACACCCTGCCTGGACACTTGCAAGCCCCTCTCCGACCAAGCCAAGGAGGTGGCCCCAAGATGGTCCCTGGCTGAAGACCCCCCTGCCAGCCTGAAGGCGGCTCTGTTTGTCAGCTCTGGCTCTTGAGCCCCTTGTTGTGTCCCCCTCCCTCACAGATGTGTGATGTAGAGAGCAGACCCTGTGACCCCACATCCAGGATTAAACCCCAGTAGGGGCATTAGCTGGCTGTGACCTTGAGCAAATCTTTTTTCTCTCCAGACCCTCAGTCTTCTCTTCTATAAAATGGGAATAATGCAAGCCTCACGGTGTTGTTACAAGGTTCAAACCAGAGGTTGTATGTTACGTGCTCAGTAAAAAAAAAAAATAGCTAATCCTAGCTGTTCCTTTGCCATCAAAATTCCACCCAGCCCGATACTTTCAGCTTCTTCTATGAAGGCAGAGCTCAGGCTGCAGTCAGCCTCATTGTAATTTCCGTTCCTTCACTTCTTCATTCCTTCATTGATGATTCAGTGCCCAGTCTGCGCCAGCTGATGTGTGGAGTGATGAGGGATAGGAAGATCATTAAGATAGGGTTCCCACCTTCCAAAGGGGCTCACAGTCCAGCGGGAGAGGTGCACACGTGACCACGATCATAAGCCACTGTGCTGCCGGCTGCGCAGGGAGCGAGGTTACAAGGCACCATGGGAGTGACTAGGATGGAGCAGTTAATCCCACAGGATGAGCAGGGAGGGCCTCACAGAGGAGGTGCTGTTTGAGCTGGTATTGGAGGATGTGTCAGAACCTGCCAGGTAGAGAAGGGAAGCAAGACATTTATTCCTGCAAAGAAAATAGCTCTGGAAGAGGGGAGTTGGGGAGAGTGGTGTCAGGAGATGAGCCAGGTGACAGGCCCGAGTGCCTGGTCCAGACTCCCTTTGACCCACCCCACTGCCATGATGGTTGTGCCGAGGTGAGCTGGGACCAAGTTCTGTGCAGACTTTTTTCTTAAATGGAACAGTGATTCCCTTGAGCAGAGACCATTTTCTTCTTGCTCTTCCAGTCCTGTGCCTGTTGAGGGCCCCACACGCTGAGAGTTGAATCAGATGACTGCGTCGGGGGGACACCCGAGACCCGGGGCAGGTTGGGGTCTGTCCACACCAAGGCTTGGGAACAGCCAGGACAGGCCTTTCAGATACGTGCCTCCCCTCCACATGCAGCCCGCCGCCTGCTGGCAGATCGTTCTCCCTGAGTTTCTAAGGTGGCTAGGGGTCACCAGCCAGTTCTCTTGCTGAGTGTGTTCCCCTTTCCTGCCTGAGACCTGAGGGCAGGTGCTAACCAACATCATGAGCACCTTGCTGGACGCCCATGTGCTCTCAGGAGACCCATCCTGAAGCCCCTGAAGATGTGCCTTAAGCTGTGACTGTCCCCTGTGCTGGGTTGTCATTGTGGTCCTGTCAGTTGGCTCCCACCCCCCCCCCCTTTTTTTTTTAATGAATGTATCGCTTTTTCATCAAGTCCTTTTCACAGACTAACCCTCTCCCTCATGTTCTGTTTGTTTTTCCCTCTCCTCTCTCTGGTGCCCCTTCTCCTTCTCCAAGACTGACCCTTGGTTATCGTTGCAGAATTACGGCAGTGGCATGAGACCACCACCCAACTCCCTCGGCCCCGCCATGCCCGGGATTAACATGTAAGGCCACACCCCTGCTGGCAGCCCAGAGCCCGTGGGTGTGCCCACCCTCTGTTCCCCCTGAGAAACTCATGATGGCCGGAATCACTGACACCTCTCTGGACCTCAGTCCCCTCATCAGTAGAGTGAGGAGGTTGAGCGTGCCGGTGACAGGACCTCATAGACGCCCATACAGGGCTTGTCCCTGCCAGGCGCAGGTCTGAGCTTGCTTCGTGGGTTAACTCCCCTCATCTGCATGGTAACACTGCGAAGTGCTAGCGTTATGCTCTGTTATCAGACGGGGTGAAGTAACCCACCCAGGGTCACACAGCTGTAAGTGGCAGGGCCAGGTTTGGAGCCCTGTACCACCCATTGAGTGCTTCAGTGGTATAGCACTTTTTGTGGTAGCAGATCCCTGTGTGTATCTGTGTCCTTCTTAGAAAAGTGCACTTGCGGAGGAAATACTGTTCTTCACAAATTTTGCATATAATGTATTGGGGTCTGTAGATATCTACCCATGAAAGTACATGTTTTTACCCCAGTCCTAGGACTGTATGAAGGACTTCCTGTTAGTGATTTTGGCCCTCTTGTTCTGCCCCTGCTGGCACTACCCATGTTGGCATTTATAGCATCTTTTTCATTGTCTTTATCTCTCTCTCCTCTCAGGGGCCCGGGAGCTGGCAGACCCTGGCCCAATCCTAACAGTGCTAACTCAGTGAGTACCCAGGTTGGGGGTGGGGGGGTGCCGTTTGCTAAGGGTGGGTGGGGTTCCACGGTGCAGGGTGGTTCCCGTCCCCAGGTTGGAGGTGTCACGGGGAGTGGGATGCAGCAGGATTCCACCTGATGCTTCCAAAGGGAAGCCTATCTGTAAGGGGAGATTTGGGAGTACCACGCTAGACCCATCAGAGGCTCTGTAGAAGCTGGAGTGGGAGCTGGGAGCTGGGCTCAGAGCCCTGTCCATGAAGGGACTCCTGCCGGCCTCCTCTACCTTGGCAGGGCAGGCCCTCAGCACTCAGAGGAGGGAGCTGGGAGGGGACTAGGTGCAGACAGTCCAGGGCAGGAGGCCACAGGGTGGGGTGAAGCTCTCGCTTCCCTGTCCTTGAACTAGAGGGTCTCCTGTGCCCAAGGTTCCCTGCCAAGGCTCTGGGACCAGTTCAGTATAGGAACGGGACTCTGCTCACATCCTTGGCCCTCCTAGAGACACCGGTGGCTCAGTGTGTTTCCTGTCAAGAGTGGGATTGTGTCCCCGAGAGTACTTGGAAGGCAGAGCACATGTTGCCCGTCGGAGGAGGTGTCTCTGACCCATGGTTCACCCCTTTCTTGTTTCTAGATTCCATACTCCTCCTCATCACCCGGTACCTACGTGGTGAGTGTGTGCAGGTTTGGGGCATTGCATGTCTAGTCCTCTGTGACTGCAGGGTCGGGGAGATCCCTTGTCTCTTTGTTTTCAAGACATGTTGTGAGCACAGATTCCAAACTGTGCTAGAATTTACTGTCAATATGCAGGTATTTGTACCTACTGGTGTCCCAGAAGTCCCCTCACAAGACCCAGAGTTGGGACTTCCGTCCAGGGAACTGACCAGTAGACCAGTCAGCTTCCACCGCAGGCATGGTTTCACTGGGCTCCATGCATCTGAGCGCACACGCACGCCCGCAGTTGCCTTCTGGTACACAAAAGGGAAGGAAGGAGTCCAGTTCCCCCAGGACTTAAACAGCTGGGTTCTGTATGGACAGTGGCGGCTGAGTGAGAGAGAAATGTGGGGCTGGGCCCTGGGTGAGCATGGACTACTGATGTGGCTGGAGCTCGGGGTCTCTCCCCACACGTGTCATCACCGTGGGTTTCCGACATCAGTTTTTAATCTTGTCTCCAGGGACCCCCTGGTGGTGGCGGCCCCCCAGGAACACCCATCATGCCTAGTCCTGCAGGTAAGAAAGAAGGCTGGGGGACGGGTGCACTGGAGGAGTAGGAAGTCCTGGAGGGGCCTGGTACAGAGCCAGCGCTGGCTGGCCACTCTTCCTGAGCAGTGTACCCCTCACCTGGCATCTTGACATCAGGGATTTATTTAGTGGGCAGAAGACCCTGGTGCCACCAGCCCACCCTGCGGCTTCAGCTGGGGCACTCTTCACTCCAGTTGAAGGACAGGGCAGAGCAAGAAGATTCAAGAATGAGGGGTCTCGCTACTCTTGACTCCCCCTGGTCGGAGAGAATCCTGTCCTGGTTGTCGCTTCTCTAGATGACTGGAAAGGGGCTTTGGGGTTCTGGCCTCCTGGGCCCAGGACTCTGCAGAGTGATGCCTCTTGAGTGTCCAGAGCTCTTGGTTTCTGGTCCTCTATATCAGAGATCCCTTTTTGCCCTTTTCTTCAATAGAAGAGGGCACGTGTACTCACACACATATAGCATCACAATTGTATTTCTTTCCCAGCTAAGAATAGCATACCACCAACTAGAAGGAATTCAGCACGCCATCTTTACCCACCCCCAAAATAAAAAGTGAGAGGTAGTTGGATTTCTGCCCGAGAAGTATGGTGCCTGCTCCTGATATAAATATGTTAGCTGATTTCCTCGGGAGACTTTTCTGGCTAATTGGGGAGACAGAGGGGTCCCTCCCACCCCCTCCTCTGCTCCCCATGGCAGGAAAGCTGCTCGGCAGCAGGGGTGGGGCTGGCGGCGGCCGTGAGGCTCCCACTCCGGCTCCCTCTTTCTGCTGCTGCATTTTTATGAGCTGCATGACCTACATTCAGACTGGGTCACATTAAACCACTCCATATGTTACTGCGTCTCCAGCCCCATCTCTGCCTCTCCCTCCTGCCCCATCAGTTTGGCAGAGTGGCCCCTGGGTCATCTGTGGTGTCATTCTTTCCCAGTGTGATTAAAACTGCCAGCCTGGGGTTGGGGAGAGCACAGGTGGTGGTCGGGCTGCACCTGCGTTGTCCCAGGCAGCATCTGGGGAGCATGTTTGGTTTGGGGCGGAGGGGGGTGAGGGGGGCGGAGATGATTTTGCTGTGTCCACACTGCTGTCCAGAACCCTGAAATCCTTCCTTTCAGGGTTGAGTGGTTTTCACAGTTGAATTTTCTGTGATTAAAAACTTTGTGAATCTTCATTAAATACAAATTAGCCAGAAAATGCTGGTACTTAGAGGAAATTTTAGGTGATAAAATACAAAAGAATGAGTTCAAGTGCCATGAGTTTGTTTTAATTAAGCAATGAATTAATCACCCCGACTTGCGGGTTTCCACTGTTCTACAGATTCAACAAATTCCAGTGACAACATCTACACAATGATTAATCCGGTGCCGCCTGGAGGCAGCCGGTCCAACGTAAGTCTGCTTTCTAATAATTTACATATCAGATACCATAACAAATCATAATTAACTTCATCAGCTGAGGGGAAAGCAAGTTTAATTGATTTCAGCCATTTGTTACCAAAGATGAATAAAATAAACCATCAGAAAAGTGATTAACTCTTGGGCAGCTTGGTTCCCATTTCATAGCTGGCAGGGGGTGGCAGAGAAGGGGGTAGAGTGATCCCCACCCCTCTGGTCAGAGCAGGGTGCCCAGCCTCACTGTGGGGACCCCCCTGGTGCCCAGCCTCACTGTGGGGATGCCTGCTGGCGTCCAGCCTCACTGTGGGGACCCCCACTGGCCTGAACGGGGTGTTGATGAGGAAGAACACAGGCTGCGGGGGGCTTGGAGGGTGGTCTGGGCCAGTCCCTGCTCAGCTGACTGGGTGTACACCTGGGCGATGATGCCTCATCCTCTCTGGTCTGTTTCCTTGGCTGTGGAGCTTGCGGCGGAGGTCTCCAGGTACCTGCCTGCCCTGTGCCTCTGGGAGCCCTCTGACTCCCACATCCTATAACCTCTCTGCCTCTCCTCGCTCCCTTCCCTCCTCTAGAAACCACTCCCTCCCTTCTTGGCCCCTCAATGTTCCCACCCTGCTGGTGGTATAGCTCGGATACCTCCTTTCCTGGTCCCTGCTCACCACTCCCTCTTGTGTTCCCGTACTGGACCATGCAGCTGTGGCCTGTCTGCCTCTCCTGACTGGGAGCTCCCTAAGGACAGGGCTGGTCTGGCAGCTCTTCCTGGCTAGGCAGGAAAGGCGAATCCCACTGGGCTTGCCCTGGGGGAGCTCAGGGTGTGGAAAGGAGGCTGTCGTGTGACCACATCAGTAGTTCAGGGACAGCGGAGCCAGAGCGTGAGCTTGCAGTTCCAAGGTTGGCTCTGGCCTTTAGGATGCTCGGTCTGGTTCTGCTGGTTCGGTTCTTGGTGTAACTCCAGAATCACCCCATGTGCTAACAGCCCTGACTGTGGGCTACTCAATGCTGGACACTGCGTGTGTTGCAGCCTCTGGGTGGGGGTCGTAGGCCTGCCACCTGGGGGTGCCAAGACAAACCAACCTGGATCCCATGACTGAGAACTGGGGACCCTGCTCCTCACCTGCCAGTCCACCGCCTTCTCTCCCTGTCTCTCCGAGGCAGCCAGTACCTCCCATACCCCTGCCTCTCCCTAGGGTGGCCAACTATTTGGGTTTTAGCACCAAAGCCCTGTGTCCTAAGAGATGACTTCCCAGGACACAAAAGTCTTCCCAAGTTTTAGCAATGGATGCAGAAGGTTGGGCAGAAATGTACAAGACCCATTTAGCTGCCCCAAAGACAGGACCGAGCACATGAAAATGGCCTAGACTCCCCTCTTGCCATGGTTGCTGTTGCCATATTTTACCAACCACAGATGCCAGTGGTTGTGGTCTGTGGCTCTCAATGATGCATCATCCATGTTGCATCTCTCCAAGGGGTACCACTCAAGCGCACAGCATCCAGGCCCTGGCAGAATCCGCCTTTGACTCTGCCTGCAGTTTAACTGTTAGGCTTTGTGTCAAGATAGTGCAGATGTCATTTTTCACACTGTGAGCATCATGGTCATGTTTTCTAAGAACTCAAATAGTGAAAATGAGAACAATGAGACCACAGCCCCAGCGTGACCCTGACATGTCCAAAAAAGAAGCCTGAATGAATTTTAATGACAGATGTGAGGACACACAGACCTGCATCAGGGAGGCAAATAACCAAAATGGAACGTACTGGCAAGTGTGTAGAAGAGAAGAGGTATGGGTGGAGGAGGGGTGGGAGAGTGCATGGCCATCTGGGACGTGACATGCACATCCCGCTAAATCAATCGCAAGTTTTGTGTGCCATCCAAAGGAACACCAGCCCTCAGTGTAATGTAGAGAGGCGGCAGCCACACTTGGCAGGGCCATGGCCCTGAAATGATCACCGTCACCATGTTGGTCCTTTGATGGCTCCATGAACCGAGAAGATTACATTTCCTGATTCAGAGGCTGCAACTGAAGGGGTGAACCGAAGGGGAGTTTAGATGACAAGTGTGTTGGTCCTTCATGCTGTGTAGCTGATTCTGTTGTATCATCCCAACAGTCGGGGAGCTTTCTTCCTCAGATCAAGTGGTTCATCAGACCGTCTCAACAAAACTGTGTCCCTAGCTTTTAGGCACTTTGACCTGAAAACTGGAGCTTCACCTTGTCATCTTGATGTCTTCGAAGAAGACGTTAATGAAGTGTGGAAGAGAAAGAAAATATTACTGTTCTCTTGTCCAACTACAAACCACACTTTGCTCGTTTATCTGCATATTTGGCAGACAGTGCAGTTAATTTGGCAAGTTTCATTTAGTCCATGAACTTCTTACCTGCTAATTTCCCACCCGCCTTGTCCCTAATAGTGCTGCCAAGGGGGCTGATTTGCTTGCCTGTGATAATCCAGCTTTCATAATGAAAGGTTTTGGTCACTTGTTGATTTGCTCAAAACATGCAGAAACAGATTTTTGAGTTTATAAAAAAAGAGAAGGCCTCGGACACGTGCCCACAGATGCCTGGCGTTATTGCTGGCTGTAGAGATGTGAAAACGTCAGCCTGCTCTGATGCTCTTCTCTTAGAAACACTGTGAGATGAGAATGTGGAACGGAATTATAATAAAGTAGAAACATAGCTGCTGCTTCTCCAGAACTGTTTGATGATCCTCAAGAGGCCACCAGGAGCCCAGGTGAGGCTGAGTGGACTGCACTTGAGCTGTTCAGTGTTGTAGAGGGGCTGTGACAAAGCCTTGTACAGCCAGAGTAATGGCTCACCGTTTGGAAGCGAGACTGCTTGAGAACTCATAAAGTGTTATAGGCAAGGGCAGCCAAGTTAGCTAAGACTTTCTCAACATTTTTATTAAAACTGTGACTTAGAATCCAGCTTATATCTCACAAGTTCAAATTACCTTTGTGCTTTAAAACCATTTTCCCTGAGAAAGAGAGGTTTAATCGATGACATCCAGTGTGCTCGGAATGTTTAGAAATGATGGACATCATAGGAGGGCGCAGCCCATCTGATGAGCTCCTAGGTGAAAAGGGCCTGACAAGTGGCCGACCTTCCGAAACCTACCTATAGATACAAAGTGGATGGACATCTTCAGAGAACTGGAGGCAGATTCCTACAGATCCAAAACCTGTGTGGTTAAGTAAAATCCTAAGCACTGCATGCGCGGATGTTCTTGTGGAGCGGAGAGTTTGGTGTTGCTATGTTGGACTGACACCAGTGCTTGATGAGAGCAGAGTGGCAAGTCAGTGCATTTTCTGTTTGACTCTTCAGTTTTGCCCTCCATAAAAGAAAGGTGTCCAAAGCCTGCAGGCGATTCAGAGAAGCATTAGTGGAAAAGCAAGCACCATTTGCCTTGTTGGGCGCCTGAAAGTGAGATGAGTCCCTAGGAGCTCTCTTGAAGTCCTCTGGGGAAAAATCTGCTGCAGCTCTTGCTCTGGCCACATCTTCTCAACATTTAAATATCCAGTTTAAAGAGTTAAAGTAATTTACTGTGTCAGAAGACAAATTCTATAAAAGTGTTATATTTTTCCCATGTCATTTGTTTAACTAGCCATCCTGCTGTTTGCCACTGTTCACTAGTTCAGCTGTTCTGTAATAGAATTTGAGTAACAGAAAAGTAAATAATAAACAACTGGATATCCACATTCAGATGAATGAAGCTGGACTTCTTCCTTATAACATACACAAACAGAAAAATTAACTCAGACCAGACCCTAGGCCTAAATGTCAGAGCTAAAACTATCAAACAATTAGAAGAAGATACAGGAATAAATCTTTGTGACCTGGGTTAGGAAAGCCTTCTTAGCCACTCTGAAAGCACAAGTGACAAAAAGTAGCTGCACTGGACTTCATTAAAATTTAAAATTTATGCTTCAGAGGACACTGTCAGGAAAGTAAAAAGACAGCCCACAGAAAATATTTGCAAGTCATACGTCTGATAAGGGTCTTGAATTGTAAATGTGTGAAGAATTCTTAGAACTCAATAATAAAAAATGAACCCAACTTTAAAATGGGCCAGGGATCTCAATAGACATTTCTCCAAACTTGTACAGAGAACCAATAAGCACATGAAAAGATGATCAGTGTCATTAGTTAATAAAAGAAAACTTCAGTGGGTTATCACTTCACACCCACTAGGATGGCTAGAATCAGAAAGACAAATAATGAGCGGTGTTGGTGAGGATGGGAGGAAATCTGAACCCTCACATGGGAACATAAACTGGTGCAGATGCTGTGGAAGAGAATGGCAGTTCTTCGATAGGTTAAGCAGTTACTGTGACCCTGCAGTTCCACTCATTGACATCTACCCCAGAGAAATGAAAACATGTCCACACAGTTGTGTCCACAGATGTTCACAGGAGCATTAGTCATAATAGCCCAAAAGTGGAGACAACCGCAATGTCTGTTGACTGATGAAAATGTAGTACATACATAAAATGTAATGTTATTTGAACATAAGAAGGCATGAAGTACATGATGCATGCTTATAACATGGATAAACCTTGGAAACATTTCACTAAGGGAAAGAAGCCAGCCACAAAAGTCATATACAATTTATATGAAATAACTAGAATTGCTAAATCTATGGAGAAGGAAATAGCAACCCACTCCAGTATTCTTGCCTGGAGACTTCTGTGGATGGAGGAGCCTGGTGGGCTGCTGTCCATGGGGTCACACAGAGTCAGACACATTGCGACTTGGCATGCATGCATGCATTGGAGAAGGAAATGGCAACCCACTCCAGTATTCTTGCCTGGAGAATCCCAGTGATAGAGGAGCCTGGTGGGCTGCCGTCTGTGGGGTTGCACAGAGTCGGACACGACTGAAGTGACTTAGCAGCAGCAGCTAAATCTGTGACACAGAGAATAAATTAATGGCTAATGTGGGCCTGGGGATTCAAGGGGGAATGGGGAGTGATGGCTCATGCGTACAGAGTTCCTTTTGGGGATGATGAAAATGCTCTAAAATCAGTTGTGGTGGTGATGGTACAACTTGCTAAGTACACTAACAACCACTGAATTGTGTACTTATTAAATGAGTCAGTTGTATGTGGTTAAAAATAGCATGAAAGTACACAAATATAAGATACCTGTTTTTGAAATACATTTATGCAACTGTAATACATGTGCATAATTGTTGACTGTATTATCAAATTTGGGGATTTAAAAAAATATTTACGTATTTTATTTATTTGGCTGCATCAGGTCTTTAGCTGTGGTAGTCAGGATCTTTCGTTGCAGCAGAGTCTCCGGTTGTGGCCAAGGCTCAGTATTTGTGGCACGCGGGCTTAGTTGCTCCATGGCGTGTGGGAGACTGGACTGCCAGGGAAGTCCCCTGGATATATTTGGTCTGGTAGGACTGTGTTTGGGTAGGTCACCCTCATCCTCCTATCACTTGGGTTAATAAGCATGAAATGGATTGCCAGATGGCAAAATGTGCCCCCCGGCCCGCCAACAACACTGGGAAGCCACTAGGGAGGCGAGGATGCTGTCCTCAGAGGATATGTGAATGGGTGTCAGGGTGAGGAAGCAACTGGTACCCCAGCAGTCTTTGCATCAGCTGGTCCTGCTGCCATCTGCTAAGAGGGCTTTTTACTTCTGCTCAGGCAGGACCCTTTCAGAAATGAAGCCATGGCACATCTCTCCCTGCCCAGATCCTGACCCTCAATTATTTTTTCTCTCTACCACCTCCTCTCTGCAGCCTATCGTGATTTCTCTGCCTTTTCCCCAGTGCCTCCCTCTGAAGCTGCAGCTGTGCTTGTCTAGATCTCAGTATCCTGTGAGGTAGCTGTGTGTCCATGGCTGCACTCTTCCTCCAGGCTGAGGCCCAGGTGTGACTCAGCACCCAGCACAGGCCACATGCCAAACAGGCCTCTGCTCTGCTACTTCCATCCCCTGTCCAACCTTGCCTCTGGTTGGTACCCCAGGCCTGGGCTCAGCCATCCCTTGGTGGCCATGCCTTGTGACCTCTGGCCTTTGCTTGCGTCTTTTCTGAGATGGGGGTGATAGTTCCAGACAGGCCTGAGGAAGGGAGTGGAGCAGATGAAACGTCGTCTGCATGATGAATGCAGATGAATCCATCTGCATCTCCAGTTCTGCTCACTAGTGAGCACCCCCACAGAGTCCCAAAGAGAGAACGCCTGCCACCAATGCCCCAGCTCTCCGCACATTTCAGAGGAGGAGGCTCATGTGATGGCTCCAGGGCCAGGCTGCCCGAGGTCCAGCCACGGCTCCTCCATCCTACCTGGGAGATTTAGGGCCAAAGCATGGTCCACTGTGTGCTTCAGTTTACTCATCTGTAAAATGGGGAGGAAAGGCATTAATAGTTTTATTCCCAGGCCTGGCTCAGTGGGTCACTCTGTCTCTGTGAGCCCCACATACTGCCTTGGGGATGGAAAGAGCCCCAGGTGGGATCCAGGAGGCCTGGTTTGAGAGTTGCCTCTGGTGCCTTGGGCCAGCCGCTCCCTCTCTCCTGGTTGGCTTCCTCCCGTGGTGCGTAGGCCTCTTCCCTGCACAGTCCAAGGGCTTAGGGGAGGTGCCACCTCCGGCCTCCTGGTGTTCAGTGCCCGAGTGTGCCTGAGAGCAGCTCCCCAGGGTGGAAGCTCTCTGGGGCCGCACTTCTGTGTTGCTGGGTATGGAGCCCCGCGAGGGTCGTGGCGGGCCCGCTCAGGTGCCACGCTCTGCTTCTCCCACAGTTCCCAATGGGTCCAGGCTCGGACGGCCCGATGGGGGGCATGGGCGGCATGGAGCCACACCACATGAACGGCTCATTAGGTAAGTCAGCACCCTGCCTGACTTCCTGGGAAGCCTTCTCTGCCTTGGCTCCGGGCTCCACTGAGCCCAGTCCCCACAGGAAGATCTGAAGAGGAAGATGTTGCCTGGGTAGAAGGTCCTCTTTGGCAAAATATTTGGGGTTCGGGTGGAAGCATTTGGAAGCCCCTGCACAGAAGAGCAGGTGAGACCCTGAACTGGACTTTCTTTTCTCCTTCCAGGGTCAGGTGACATAGATGGACTTCCAAAAGTGAGTGTGTGTTCCCTGTCTCCTCCCTGACAGCACCCTCCAGAAAGTCTTTCCCCCCATCCCGGGAGGGGGTGGCAGGTTGCTGGCAGCCCGGGGCTCACCATGTCTGCTCTCTCTGCAGAATTCTCCTAACAACATAAGTGGCATTAGCAATCCTCCAGGCACCCCTCGGGACGATGGCGAGCTAGGAGGGAACTTCCTCCACTCCTTCCAGAATGACAATGTAAGTGTGCCCACCACCACCCTTATTTCACCCCCCCGGGCCCTCACTGTATCCTCTGAGCCCTGGGACTACTGATTGATGTTTCAGAGTCTCCTGGCCAAGACCTGTCTGCTGGGCCAGTGTCCTGGCAGCTGTGTCATGAGTCTTTCACCTTGGTTATTTTTCCACACAAGATGGAGAGCCCTCACAATCCCCCCACACACCCCCACCAGCCCATGGTGTGGTGCTGACCCCTCATCTCCCGAATGCGACCTTCCCCAGGCGTGCACACGCAGGTGCGGTGCCTCCAGCGCTAATGAAGCTCACATGGCCGGACGAGCGCTGGGCCCTGGCCCACGGAGTCCTTGTCTCTGTCTGTGTCCTCCCGTCCTGGAGGGCGGGTGTGCGTGCAACCAGGGCCTTCCTGGGGTCTCAGTGCCGAGGAGCTGGCTGGCTGTTTTTTCATATTAGGCTTCTTGTTTAGTCTCATCTGAAGAACCAATGTCAGGCTTCTATAGCTTTTGAGAACCCCAGGCCGGCTCACACCCCAGGGTGCCCTGGCTGTGCTCCAGCTCATCAGACCCCAGTCCTCGGCAGTCCGTGGCCCTAGGAGGGGAGGGCAGGGGCTACTGCTGGCTTCAATAGGAAAGGGGTGATTTGGAGAGGGAAGTGGGGGGCAGGACAGGCAAGTGAGGGACACAGGCTGGCACGGGGAGGGGATGGTTTCTGAGCCCCGCCTGCTGGCCCCTTGCCTACCCAGTGCCATTGTGGGTGTCTCAGCCCAGCCCCGAGACAGGCCCTGTCCGGCTTTCTGCAGTGAGCCCTCCACAAGGCTGCCACACCCTGCCCTCACGACCCCCCTTCTCTGCTTCTCCCTTCAGTATTCTCCAAGCATGACGATGAGTGTGTGACTCCCCCCCTCCTCTTCTCCGAGACGCTGAGAGAGCCGGCATTGCAGGCGGGAAGATGCCAGAAATTATGCAAGAAGAAGTGAGGTGTCATTACCCAGGAGCTGGGGGAGGGGCGTCTCCTCCCCCCGCAACCCCCACCCTGTCCTCTACCCCCTCCACCTTTTCCAGTTTTAGTTTCATGCAATAAAAAGGCCGAACTTTTTATTCCATAAAACATGAAGGACAAAACTCAAAATAAAATATATTTCAAGTCAATGACCAGAAAAATCCCACCCTTGCCCTTTCCCGAAGGACCTTTGATGTCCATGACACTTTTCTGTTTTTTTTTGTTTGTTTGTTTGTTTGGGGTTCTGCTGTTGTTGGGATTTTTTGTTTTGTTTTCAGGGGGGTTTTTTTGGGGGAAGAATTTTTAAAAATGGAAGCTTCTAGCAAATCCCCCCAACCCCACCCCAATCAACCTCTTTGCTTTCTTCTTTAAAAAAAAAAAAAAGGACAAAAAAAAATAAATAAAACCAAGCCCCGTTGTCTGTACCCAAGCCCTTCCACCAGGAAAGCTAGTCTAGGTGTGAGATCTCACCTGTCTTTGTAGCCATCTAAAAATAATAATAATAATTATAATAAACTGGGCAGTTTACAATCGGTGGTTTCTTTCAAACGGCCTGTTTTGGAAAGAAAAAAGGAGTCACCCTTTTCCACTTGTGGTTTTTGGTTTGTGCTGACGAGCGAGGGAGGGGCGGGAACCTGTTTTGTTTTCGCTTGGTCTCTCCCGGCGAGGTGGCGACAGCAGCCACACAGCTTGGACCCCAGACCCCCTCCCCCTGTGGTGTGGCCGGAGGGGCCAGACCACCAACCGCTTTCAGGATCCCGCCCCAGCGGAGCCGCGCCGTGACCCGGTTGGCATGCACTGTGTTCCCAGGACTGCTTCCTCCCTCTTCTGGACCTTTCCTCACCCGCCTCCCGCCCCCTCCTCAGCCCCCGCCCCAGTCTTCCCAGTGAGAATCCTGCCAGCGGGGTGGTGGCTTGGAGCGGAGTGGGGGAGGCCGCCCCCGACAGGATGGCTATGACCTGGGACGTGGAAACCGTGACCTCTGCGTTCTCCTCCCTCGCATCGTCCACATTGCGTGTGCGGGCAGCATAGGGCTGGAGTTGGGTTTTCTTTTTTTTTTTTTTCTCTTGATTCTTCCTTCTTTTTCAAAGATGGGATATTGACCAGAATTGCTCTGTATATGCTTGGAACTGGATGGAAAGACTCTGGAATAGCTGTGGGGGGCGGGGGTGGGGGGACACCGACAACCAAACATGTGCTGTTTCCGGACCTGTTTTTATTTTCAAAAACCGACAAATGCCACAGTGGAGCCTGTCCGCCTCCCAGGAGGGACTCGTGGCCTCCCTCACCTCACCACCCTGCATCGAAACCTCTGTGTCTTGCCCTGAGACACCTGAATTCTTTGTACATTTACACCCTCCCCCCTCCTCTGTAGCTGGTCTTTGTTTTCCTCCCTCTTTTGATCCATGTATATCATATTATGTGAGATATCATCTGCCTGAAAAAAGACCTTGTGCGGATTATTGGGAACATTGTAGCTGTTTCTGTGTTTTTTCTTACCTTGTAGTCTGGTTCTGAATTAAGAGAGGAAAAAAAAAAAAGTAATTATGATACATTGTAGTTTGTGTACGATATATGTTGATAACGTTTTATTAAAGGGACATCTTTTTTCCGCAGCCCTTCCTGACATGTTTGGGGGAACGTGGGTTGGAGTTTATTATACTGATTATAAAATGCCAGGCGACTGGCTGGGCAGAAATTCTGCTCCTGGTGCACAACAAGATCTTGTTCTGTGTTCCAGGCGTTGGCCTTCTTTTCCTGGGTGTGTTAATTCTGCATTTTCTGTGGAGAGTTGGGGATGATGGGTTGGGAGGGAGGGCATGGTCTCATTTCAAATGGGGGCATTCTAAAAGGCAGTTTCAGTTTCTCGTCTTGCAAATGAATTTTGGTTTGCCAGGATGTATTTTTCTGGAAAAGTAAGAAAAGGTTCCCAGTGCACTGTGTTTTCAGTAGAGAGTAGGTGTCAGCTAGGATGGCCACATGGGCTGCAACCACGCCTGCTTTCTCCTTTCTGGTGAAATTTGTTTTGCAGATCCTAGGGTGCTGGGCCACGGGAGGTTATTTTATTTTTTCACCTCCAAGGCAGCAGGGAGCCCTTGAAAGATTTGAAGAGTGGCACAGTTCAACTTGAATTTTAGAAAACGATGCAGGTTGCATCTTGGAAGATAGTTGGGTGGGGCTAGACAGATGGGAAATCCAGTGCCAGCTGCCGTCTAGGCAAGAGCTACTGCAGGCCGAACAGGTCAGCAGCAGTGGGCGCTGATTTGAACATTTAGAAGTAGAACTTTCTGCATCCTTGGAGCTTCGGGGCCAGGCCTGCAGCAGGAGCGGGCAGGAAACACATGGAATGTCTGAGCAAAGTGTGACCTTAGCCCCACCTTTTATTGTAAGGACCAACTTCAGATCCTGCCTTTGCCACTGTTCACTGTGTGGCCCTGGGCCAGTTGGGTCATAATGTCCTCAGTTGCCTCATCTATAAAATAGGGATAACGGTTTACCCATCGTGTGGTCGTTGTGAGGATAAGTGAACATTTGTAAAGTGTCTAGAATTGTGCCTTTTAAGTAGTAAGAGCAGTAGTGTTAGCTGTTGGCAGTACTGCTCCTCATTTGGGGAGTCTAAATGGGTGTGATGAGTAGCTGGGAGGCCCTAGAAAATCCCATTGTCCTTCCTGTCTCATCTGAGAACACGGCTTCCAAGGCTCTTCCTCATCACTGTTGGACAGATGAGACCTGGGTGGTTACTAACCTGCATCCACAGTTCTGAAGAGGCGTTTATGCACCAACTTGAACACCTGCCATGCCCCAGCCCAGCGCTGGGCAGAGAAGGTGGAGATGACAGTGAGCATGTGCTCAGTACCCTTGCTGCCCTTGCGCTTGAGGACTCAGGCACAGTGGGGAGCAGTGACCTGGGGGAGGGTGTGCAGGTCACAGCAGCCCTTGCCTAGAGGAAGGAAGGACCCCCCAGCCTGTAATGAGAGCCTGCTGCACCCACATCCGCGGGAGGTGAGAACACTGGGCACCCTACCACCACCTTTATTGTTTCACCTCCAGGGCAGCAGGGAGCCCTTGAAAGATTTGAAGAGTGGCACAGTTTGACTTGAATTTTAGAAACGGTGCTAAAATCTGAATTTTAGGATCGGAAGGTGAAAACGGGAGGTGACACCTGCCCCCACCCCCCACCGAGCACCTCCAGAGTTGCTTTTGCCACACTCAAGGCTCTGGCAAGGGCTGGTTTGGGGTCAGCTTTGCAGCAGGAGAGGACAAGCTGATTGCCAGGTTTTTCACCACTCTGCCCTGTCCAGACCTGAGTGAGAGCAGGGCCAGGCAAAGCCAGCTTCTGCAGCCAGCATGAGGTTCCCAAGATGAGAGTCAGGAGGGGGCGGGGGGTCACTCCTGTCCTTTCACAGCAGTGGACTTTAGCCCATCACTGAAGCTTAGGCGGGAGTGGACAATCCAAGTCAGAGGCCGCAGCCTGGCAGCTTCTTTCCTGGTAGTCGTTACTGACCACAAGGGGCTGGCTAGCCTGGGGATCCAAGGCCAGGATCTGCCTGAGTCAGGAAAAGCTGACCCGGCCAGAGACCCATGCTCTGTCCCTCCTGGGTAGGCACCCCTCCCTGGAGCCAGAAAAGGAGAGCCTGGAGGCAAACCAGCTGTCAGCAGGGCCTGCTTGTGAGTGGGGGCGGGTGATGGAGGATGTGTTCAGCAACTGCCAAGGCACAGTCGCAGCAGGCCTCCAGCTTGGGCTCAGCTGAGGCTATTCAGCCTGATGCCCTGGGTGACCCTGAAGAATCCCCCACTCCGCACCTCTGCTGTCTCTTGAGGAGTCCAGATACTCCAGAGGACTGAGCCCAGAGTCCCTCCCAGGCTTCTTTGAGGGCTCTGCCCTGAACTAAATGGAGCTGGGGCTCCCCTGGGCTCATTGGGTGGGGGTGCCAGAAACAAAAAGACCAGACCAAGCGAGGGGGTGCTAAAAGGTCTATTCTGCCCTGTGCTGGCACTTTCCTCTCCATTCCCAGCTGCCTCTGGAGCTCCAGTCCTTGGTATGTTGCCTGGGCACTCAGCTACCACCTTGGTTCCCTGCCTCCATCTCAGCCCTTCCAGTACCACAGAGATCTGACTCACTTCTGAGCATTCTTCAACTCTTTGATCTGTCCATTCATGTCTTTATTGAGCACCTGTTACACGCCAGAGGCTGTCCTAACACTAGGGAAACAGAGGTGCACAAAACAGATGTGGGAGGGCTGGCGATGCCCATCACTGAGGTGAGGCGGGCTGTGGGAAGAGCAGGTGGTGGTGATGCTCCATGAGATGCTTCAGTCTCCAAGTGAAGATGTCAAGCAGGCAGGTCTGGGCCAGAGACCTTACTTAGGGAGTGGTTGGCATTCAAATGTCCTTGAAAGCCACAAGACTGAGACTGTCTGGAGAGTGAATGGAGAAGGGCCCCAGGCCATAGAACCAGTGAAGGAGGCAGAGAAATGAGGAGAGTGAGGTGCCCTGGAGACCAAGGGACCTGCATGCTGCCCAGGCCCCACTGCACACACCTCGCCTCATTCAGGCCCTGTGGGCCTCCTGCTCATCCCCGACCCTCAGCACTTCACGCTCTGGTGATGTGGAGTTCCTCGGGGACCTCTGCCCACTGACTGCTGACCATTTTGTTCCTGCTGTTCCCTCATGGTATGCCTTTCCTACTTGCTCTTTAGTGAAAGTTGCTCAGTCCACACTTCTTTGCAACCCCATGGACTATACAGTCCATGGAATTCTCCAGGGAAGAATAGTGGAGTGGATAGCCGTTCCCTTCTCCAGCGGATCTTCCTGACCCAGGAATCAAACTGGGGTCTCCTGCATTGCAGGCAGATTCTTAACCAGTTGAGCTATCAGGGAAGTCCAATTCAAA